ATAAACAAAAGACTTCCATTGAAGTGTCTTAGTAAAATTTTTTTCACAAAATATGTTTTTTCCAGACAATAAGTTATTTAAAATTTTTTTATAAATTCATGAGCACATTATATGAAATGTTGGAAGCAGAGGTAACTGTCTGGAAAAGACTAATACATTTTGTGAAGATCATTAAACAACACGTTAACTCACTTTCTTTATTCCTCAGCATGTACCCCAAAGTCTCAGAAGAACAATACCATTACTAACACCAACCATGTCATGTTACTTATAAAGGGAAGAAATCATATTAACATCAGACTTTCAAAATAGTAAGTTGAAACAGTAATGCTTTATGTCAAAAGGCAATGGAGCATCACATTTAAGATGCTCAGGAAAAGAAAATGTGAGGCGGTTTTGCAGACAGCTGGATCACCTTTCTAGAATAAAGAAACATAAAAAAGAAGATGGGCATGCAAGAACTCGGGGTGTCGTGTTTCCACACATTGCTCCTGAGGGTTTCTTTTTTTGCTAATAACTAGCTTTGGGACCCAAAATGATTGGAGAAACAATGGCATAAAGGCTGAAGGTGAGCTTTAAATACATAGTGCACATTTGTTTACATGCAGATCTCCACTGGATTCTTGGCGTTTTCTTTTTATTTAAAGTCCAGTAGTTTTATGAGATTTTATGTCAGGGTTGCTGATTTTGTGTTGGTTTTCCTAAGTACAGGAGCGCCCTTTTGATATACAATGTCAAACCTTTTATTCCTAGAAAGTTTTCATAAAATGTTTGTTCTCTTCTATGCCCTAAGTATTTTTTCACAGATTCCTAATGTGTGTATATATATGTGTGTGTGTATATATATATATATACACATACACACATATATATGTATTTGATATATGTGTCTATTTTCTGTAACTCATTCAATCCTCACAGTAACCTTGCCAGATAGCTCTTGTTATTAAAGAGGAGAAACCCGGCCAGGCGCAGTGGCTCACGCCTGTAATCCTAGCACTCTGGGAGGCCGAGGCGGGCGGATCGCTCAAGGTCAGGAGTTCGAAAACAGTCTGAGCGCGAGCGAGACCATGTCTCCACTAAAAATAGAAAGAAATTAATTGGACAATGAAACATTAGCCGGGCATGGTGGCACATGCCTGTGGTCCCAGCTACTTGGGAGGCTGAGGCAGAAGGATTGCTTGAGCCCAGGAGTTCGAGGTTGCTGTGAGCTAGGCTGACGCCACGGCACTGTAGCCCAGGAAACTGAGTGAGTCTCTGTCAATAAATAAATAAAGAGTAGAAAGGGAGAGAAGATGCAGGGAAGGTGAATAACTTCGTCATGGTGGAAACCTAAGAAAGAAAATGACGTACGCACCATAGTGCAATCACGTGAACTTAAAACACACGCCCATGAGATGAGCATGGAAAGTTCTCTGCACGTTCCTGGGGGTCCCTGCAGCTCAGGGGCTGTCCGATGCCCACATTACGCAGACCCAGTGAGGCGTCCCCAGCCCTCAGGTACCACACCAGCCGGCACCTGCTCTTAGCAAGTCTACCAAATGCAAAATAATCTTTCAGAGACTTATTCGACCTGGTAATTTCTCTAAATCTACTTCCACAACTAGCTGATAAAGGTCCCCAGTGTCTTTTCAACTTCCCCTATCCCTGGACCCTGATTATTCCAATAATTCAGTATAAATTCCCTCGGCTCTACACTCAGTGGCAGCTCATGGAGGGAAAAGAACTACTACTCCACGGAACTTGTTTATAGTCAAGCCCAGCTCTAGAGGAAAACAAACACCGTCTCACTCTGACCCTCACCAAAACCCCAACCCTGACACCAACCTCAACCACAACACCAACCCTACCGCTAAACCCAACCCCAACACTAACCCTAACCCTCACCCCAACCCGACGCGTCGCATGATACCATCATCATCACCATCATCATCACCATCATCATCCTCATCACCATCACCATCCTCACACCATCACCATCATCATCACCATCACCATCATCACCATCACCATTCTCACACCATCACCATCACCATCATCATCACCATCATCATCACCATCATCACCATCATCATCAATGCCATCGTCACCATCACAGCTATCAAAGCAAACATTTATGTAACGCTTACTGTGTGCCGGCAAAATGTGTTTGCCAGCACATTTGTTTGTGTAGATGTCCATTATATTCTTCTTGCTTTCTTTTTATTTAAAGTCCAATAGTTGCATGAGATTTTATGTCAGGGCTGTTGACTTTGTATGGGTTTTCCTAAGTATAGGAGTGCCCTTTTGATACATAATGTCAAAGCTTTTATTCCACCTCTAAGTACTGTCATACATTAGCTTACGGATTCTGTCACATAGGTAATACCATCATTCCCATTTTGCAGACGAGGAAACTTGGGCACCTAAAGAATAAATAATACCCCAGGAACACACAGCTGGTAATGGGAACAACCTGGATGCAAATTCTGCCTCTGGTCAGGGGCCTCTACTTCCCATGTCCCAGCGCCCCTCAACTGTGAACGCAAATCCTCCCACCTTCAGCGCTGCGGTGAGGATGGATCTTCTGCAGCTCAGCATGTTAAATATAAAGGAAGGGAATACACGTTTAACTTCCTACGTGGCCATCGTAACGCCTACGTTTTGACCAGGTATGCTGTGAATCAAATAAGCAATTTTGATCTTTAATATTTTATTCAGGCAACAATGACATATAATGATAACAATTGTACAGACTACCTTCACTTCGATATGGGTATTTACCAAAGGAATTTTATATTGACTTTTTAAAGAAAATGTCTGTGCTAATTAAAAAATGTCTTCAAATTAAGGAAGGACAACCTCCTTCGCATGACAATTTAATGTAAAAAGTTGAGGTTTAGCAATTTCAAATTGCATACTTGCAATGATTTGATAAAGAAATAGCTTTATTTTTGTTTTCATTTTTAAAACTTATCCCTAAGTGCTATTTGAATAAATGTCCTATAATGTATATATTTAAATTACAGAAACAAAAGACTTCCATTGAAGTGTCTTAGTAAAATTTTTTTCACAAAATATGTTTTTTCCAGACAGTAAGTTATTTAAAATTTTTTTATAAATTCATGAGCACATTATATGAAATGTTGGAAGCAGAGGTAACTGTCTGGAAAAGACTAATACATTTTGTGAAGATCATTAAGCAACACGTTAACTCACTTTCTTTATTCCTCAGCAGGTACCCCAAAGTCTCAGAAGAACAATACCATTACTAACACCAACCATGTCATGTTACTTATAAAGGGAAGAAATCATATTAACATCAGACTTTCAAAATAGTAAGTTGAAACAGTAATGCTTTATGTCAAAAGGCAATGGAGCATCACATTTAAGATGCGCAGGAAAAGAAAATGTGAGGCGGTTTTGCAGACAGCTGGATCAACTTTCTAAAATAAAGAAACATAAAAAAGAAGATGGGCATGCAAGAACTCGGGGTGTCGTGTTTCCACACAGTGCTCCTGAGGGTTTCTTTTTTTGCTAATAACTAGCTTTGAGACCCAAAATGATTGGAGAAACAATGGCATAAAGGCTGAAGGTGAGCTTTAAATACATAGTGCACATTTGTTTACATGCAGATCTCCACTGGATTCTTGGCGTTTTCTTTTTATTTAAAGTCCAGTAGTTTTATGAGATTTTATGTCAGGGTTGCTGATTTTGTGTTGGTTTTCCTAAGTACAGGAGCGCCCTTTTGATATACAATGTCAAACCTTTTATTCCTAGAAAGTTTTCATAAAATGTTTGTTCTCTTCTATGCCCTAAGTATTTTTTCACAGATTCCTAATGTGTATATATATATATGTGTGTGTGTGTATATATATATGCACACACACACATATATATATGTATTTGATATATGTGTCTATTTTCTGTAACTCATTCAATCCTCACAGTAACCTTGCCAGATAGCTCTTGTTATTAAAGAGGAGAAACCCGGCCAGGCGCAGTGGCTCACGCCTGTAATCCTAGCACTCTGGGAGGCCGAGGCGGGCGGATCGCTCAAGGTCAGGAGTTCGAAAACAGTCTGAGCGCGAGTGAGACCATGTCTCTACTAAAAATAGAAAGAAATTAATTGGACAACGAAACATTAGCCGGGTATGGTGGCACATGCCTGGAGTCCCAGCTACTCGGGAGGCTGAGGCAGCAGGATCGCTTGAGCCCAGGAGTTCGAGGGTTGCTGTGAGCTAGGCTGACACCACGGCACTGTAACCCAGGCAACTAAGTGAGACTCTGTCAATAAATAAATAAAGAGTAGAAAGGGAGAGAAGAAGCAGGGAAGGCGAATAACTTCGTCATGGTGAAAACCTAAGAAAGAAAATGACGTACGCACCACAGTGCAATCACGTGAACTTAAAACACACGCCCACGAGATGAGCATGGAAAGTTCTCTGCACGTTCCTGGGGGTCCCTGCAGCTCAGGGGCTGTCCAATGCCCACATTACGCAGACCCAGTGAGACCTCCCCAGCCCTCAGGTACCACACCAGCCGGCACCTGCTCTTAGCAAGTCTACCAAATGCAGAATAATCTTTCGGAGACTTATTCCACCTGGTAATTTCTCTAAATCTACTTCCACAACTAGCAGATAAAGGTCCCCAGTGTCTTTTCAACTTCCGCTACCCTGGTCCCTGATTATTCCAATACTTCAGTAAAATTCCCTCGGCTCTAGTCTCAGTGGCAGCTCATGGAAGGAAAAGAACTACTATTCCACGGAACGTGTTTATAGTCAAGCCCAGCTCTAGAGGAAAAAAAACACCGTCTCACTCTGACCCTCACCAAAACCCCAACCCTGACACCAACTTCAACCACAACACCAACCCTACCACTAAACCCAACCCCAACACTAACCCTAACCCTCACCCCAACCCCAACCCCAACCCTAACCCCACCCTGACCCCAACCCTCACCCCAACCCCAACCCTAATCCCAACCCTCACCCCAACCCCAACCCGACCCCTAACCTGACCCTCAGATGCCCCGTGCTGCCCAGCGGATCCTTCAGACCGGTGCCATGGCTGGGCCGCGGTATGCAGGGAGGCCCCCTCATGGCAGGCAGGTGGGGCCCAGGGCATCAGAGACCCCAACAACTTGCTCCCGACCCCGGGAAGCCCTTTCCCTGCCTGGCTGGAGATGACCAGGCAGAGCCAGGGCTGAGCATGCTGGCGGCACACGCCGCCCACAAGCCGGATGACCACAGGGCACCTGGCTCTGCTCCGACCCAGTCCAAAGGTAAGGAGCTCTTCTGCCAGGAGTGACGTGGACTTCGGCAGCCCCTGCAGGGCAGACCTCTGCTCCCCATGGCAGGGGTTGCTGTCCCAGACCGCCAAGTCTGGGAGAGAGAGCAGAGGCCGGCATCCCTCACAGGGTCCATCCAAGTGGTGACACTAAACCTGTCCTCACGCCTGCTAGTCCTGCGCTCTGCTGGGCAAGGCGGCCCTCGGGAACAGGCTGCCCAGCGCTTCTAGGTTCCAAAAGAGCTGTGAGCATCACCACACCCGGTGGAAAGCAAAGGCTGAGGCCAGGTGTTGCAGGTGACAGCTCCAACGTGACAGAGGTGTCTGGTCCATGGTGATGGACCCAGCCACAGCTGGGACAGAGATGGAAGAAGGGGTGCAAGAGGCGGCTGATTCAGCAAATTTGGTAAAAGTGGTTGTTACGTAAATTTGTTAATGGCACAGCTTGGGGGGGAGAGCATGACATTCAAATCATTTTCCTCATTTATTTGGCCTTTTCACTTGCTCGGATGCACGACTCGGCAGTGTTCCTAAGAAACCGCAGAAGTCAGGAGGAGCAGAAACGAGCACTTTCCTCTCAAAAGCTGGCCCTGACCTTTTCATCACACCAACCTCCACGGCACAGAAGATTAAAGGTAAAACCTAATTGAGTTTCCTTGGTTACAACTGGGAATCTCCGATACTGCTTTTTATGTTCAAACAGATGGGGGACCTTCACCACGGAAAGCACAAACTGATTATTTGATTACTGCAGTTCAAAATTAGGAGGAATCACGCATGCCGGAACAATGACCCACCTCAATGAGGTTTAGAACAATGAGAACGTTTAAGCCATTATGCAGAGGATACGGAAGGTTCCTCTTCCCGGACGTCCGCATTAATACTGGAGGCCACAAATCCATAGAAAAATGCTGTGCATTGGTTGGCTCCACTGGTTTTCAAGTTTTAAGGATTTATTTTTGCAAAATATTTGAAAGGAGGTAGCTTGATGATTAAAAGATAAATAATACCTTCATCACACATCACCCCCTCGAAAAGTCAGCAGAGATAACACCTCCTTTCGTGACCCTACAACCCCGTTCATGACTCACAGCATGACTTGGGCTGTAATAATTTGCAGACCAAGCTTCCCTAAGGCAGGTGCAGGGTCTTGCTCACCTTTTTATTCTGACAGCTACCTGGTTCTGGCCAATAGTTCCTGGTTCTCTCCAAGAACTGTGTGGAGTTTGATGTATCACCTACGTGTAAGCTATAAGTTAACCTTGGAGACGTGCTTACAGTCTCCTTTTGAAAATATACATCTTTTCTGTATTACGGATTAACTTGTCAAGGATGGATTTTTGTTTTTTTCCAAATGCCCAATCAGGGTTTATGGGGATAATTTATTTCCCGCCTAAGAAAAGTATGATGAACAATATAAGATACGCCCTAACACTAAAACATCCTTACATTTATGAAATAAACTCTATTTGGTCATGGTTTAGTATAAAAAAATATATATATAACACCTTCATTTTCATGGGCTAAGTTTGAATTTTTGTCTTCCATTAATATATGACATATTATTATACATCATTTGATCAAAAATTGACAATTATCCTTATTTCAAAAATAGTAACATTTTTTATTTTAGAACAACTATTTTTTTAAGAAAAAGAACTTACACCAAACACATAGGTTTCAGATTTCAATGAATTAAATTATCATGTCATATTATAACTTTGCTTTGGGTGCATTGACACAGTCATTTATTGATCACCTGAAGGCATTTCACAGTGTATTTCATGGGGCGGTTAACAGCATGCAAATCTAAAAGAATAAAACGTATGTATTATTATTAATTGAAAGAACCTCCCTCCCTCCATCGTGTGGGACCAGGACTGTTTGCTGCCAGGTTTGAGCATGAAGTGAGATATTGTATCCTTGGTCTTCAAGAGAGTCTGGAACTAACTCATTTTATTAGCTTACTTCTTGAACATGCGACATTGAACCCAATTTAGCCCACTGTGTGTCAAAGGGCTTTTAGCACCATTATTCTTCACCAATATAGTCCATGAAAGAATGTATATCATGGTCTGAAAATTCTCCATCATAAAATGCTATTTTCTAATTGGCATTAAAATTAGAAAACATTATAGCCCAGATGCTAAATCACTGGTTGCTTCTCTATGATTGCATTTTGTTTTATTTTATTTTATGGAACATGCACTGCCTCTCTGGAACCATGCGTTTCCACAAGACACACATTTCACACCGTACCAGTGGATTACGCTACGTAACGTTGTTTCTGTGGCATTTGTTAGATCATAAGGCAGCTCAGACACCAGCTGAGCGTGCTCAGCCCTGCGCTAACAGCGCCCGCGCCCTCCACAGCTTTCCAACCGACTAGTTCTTCCCCGTCCACCCCTGGCAAGTGCTCATTGCTTGGGTGTACAAGGATTTATCTATCCTTTTTTTCTTCATAGTCAGATAACAAATTTCAAATGTAAATAAACATCATGTTGTTGGTTTTGATAAATTATTGCACTGATGATGTCACAAACACTGAAGACAAAATTCCTCTCATCCCACCACAAATACCTTGCCTGAGTTTTCCTTATAAGCAAGGTAAGCATTAAAGACTCAGAAATGATTTCAATGAGTCATTGATTTAGATGCGCGAAATAATCTGAAATCGGCTAAATGTTATTTCAAAAATAAAGGACTCACGTTTCTGGTTCCACCCAAAATGGAGAAAGCCGGCTGCAAACTATCGATGCCAGAAAGTACAACTAAAACCCATGCACAAAGTATAAAAAGCAAAACCAAGATATGCAAAATAACGGCAAGCAGATCAGGGAAGTTAAGAACAATAGTTCAACAACAACCAAGAGAGCAGCAGTGCGTTTCTTGTTTTTCTCTGCTTTGCTTTGCTTTGAACTCCAACTCTGATGGAAGCCTCGGCTGGCTAAACTAGGGAACGGCAGAGCAAACACGGGCACAAAACTCCGAGAAGAGCATTCTTCTAACCGGGAACTGGGAAGACGGGCGTCTCTGAGCTGCCAGGAGTGTGGGGAGACCCTTCCCCGTCTCTTTCTCTCTGGCCTCTCCCCAGACGAGCTGTGAGGCCCCTCAGCGGCACAGCGACACCACTTACAAATCGTAAGGGACTCCGGTTGCATAAAGGTTGGCGGGAATAAAACCTCTTTTTCCTCAAAATTTCTCTGACTGCTTCACTCTGCGGGTAGAACCAGTCAACGGATCTGCATGCCAACGACAGTGGCTGAAACTCTGAGAAACTTCTAGCAAGAGGACCAGGGCATGGTTCCTTGGAAGTCGGAAACTTGCAGGGGAGAAAGCAGGGGAAGGGACCTGTGGTGCCGTGTGACAGCATTCCAGGCATGTCCTCCAGCGGCACACGTCCGGAACACGCCCGGAGAAGCGCGGCGAGGGCTCCGTCCGCCGAGCTGCTGTCGAGCCGCTGCGCAGACCGCCGCCCTGCGCCATCGAGCCCCGGCCGGCGCTGGGGCGCGAACAGCAGACAAAGGCTTTGGAAACAAAACTGATGCTGAGAACACAATTTGAATCAGCCAGGCTTCTCCAATGGTCCAATAGAAAGAGATCTCTCTCTCTTCCTCTCCCCATATATACATAATAATAAATATTAATGATAAAAAAGAAATCAAGGAAGTACGTCAGAAGAATAAAAGCAGAACAAAAAAGAAAGAATAAAATGTCAGGACTAAACACTTTCATTTGAGAAATTACAAGAGAAGAGGGAGCCACGCAGAGGGCGACGCCAGGTGAGGACGGACGGAGACCAGAGTCCCGCACCCACCGCCGAGGAAGCCGGGACCGCGAGCGATGACAGGGGTGGGAGAGGCAGGGGGGACCCTCCGCAGGAGCCCTCGGAGGCGGCTGGGTCCCGCTGACGCCTGCATCCCAGACCTCTCGTCCCACGACTGTGAGAGCACTCGTTTCTGTTCAAACCACCCTGTCCCTTGCTCCTCGTCCCAGCAGCCAGCAGCGGATCACCTGGTCCTCCATGCTCTCCCGGCGGCTGGCGGGAAGAGGCGGCAGACGCAGTGTCCCGCGCTGAGCACTCTGAGCGCCACATGGTGATACCGGCGCCCCAGGGAGAGAAAGGCGCCAACACCTGCTATTTATTTCCGTCCAGGGCTGCTGAGCCTGCCGGGTCCTGACGAGAGACTTGCACCGACGCGCCTGTGCTTGCCCGCCGTGCACTCGGCAGTCTCGCTGGAAACCACGAGCCCACGAGCTCCTGCCTGCCGCAGGCCGAGCTCTCCGGCTCTGGGAAAGGAGCAGCCCGAGTGCGGGGCACAGGCCTGTGAGTGCTGCAGCTGCCCCTGCTCGCTCAGCCCACCCCGGGCGGGAAGACAGCCTCGGATGCCAGCCACCCTGGAGGAGACGCTGCCCACCCGTCCTTACCTGAGTCCTTGCCTGCTAGACCGTCCAGATGCCCCCCGGGTTCATCAGCCACGCGCTGCGTCTACCACCCTCTTGCTGGGAATGCTTGCATCAGGAATGGGTGTCGGGGGCTCCACTCAAGCGCAGCGTTTCCCGCTCGTGTTGAAGGCGCCCCTGGGAAAGCTATCCTTTTCTGGCGTTAGGGTGGGAACTGCGAATGTCCCTGTCCTGCAGATTTGCAGGGATTCAGGAACCTCCCCCCAGATGGTGCAACGACTAAGGGAGAAATCCCAGGTCTACACGGCCCTGGGTGCTCAGGACCGGCCCCGCCCTCCACCTGCTTTTATGCCGACGTTGGAGCAGGAGCCGGAGTGACTGCAGACCTCCAAATGCACAGGCAAGACCGCCCCCCGCCAGCGCCCCACCCCCTCGGCGGCCACCTGCACTGTCTGCCGAAAGTCCACCTGGAAGGGTCTGATTTGACCATGTGCTCCTGTTCACAGATGTC